AGAAGAGTACAGTGTCTCAATGTCTAAACTGCACAGTTTTGCTGATGAGGGTATCTCTAAGTTTGACAGGAGAGCAAGAATTTGTTTTGTATCCTTGAGATAGGATGGTAGTCTTTCTATGAAAGGTCTTAAAATTTGATCCATGTAAATACTCCCATTCTGAGTCAGGTTTTCCATACCTGATATAATGGAGCGTCCCAGGGGGGTTTCCAGGTTCTTATGGACTTTTGGCAAGCAGTAAAAGGTTGCTATCCTAGGGTGACGATTCAGAACGAATTCGAACTCGTCACCCGATAGCACCCCTTCACTGCGGCCTTGGTCCAAGATATCTTTAAATTCAGTAAGTCATTCGTAGGATCAGATTTCAAAATTTTGTAAGTATTCCTATCTTCCAAAACTCTCATTACCATTTCAATATATTTTTCAAGGTTCATGACAACAATATTAGCCCCCTTGTCTGCCGGCTTAATAATTAATTCATTGTCATCTTTTAGAGCTTGTAGGACTTTTTGTTCTTTTTTAGAGAGATTCATATTAGGGAAGAACTCAAGTGATCTGATATCAATCCTATTGATTTCCCTTTTCATGGTCTCCAGAAAAAGATCAATGTTCTTATAGTTGGCATGATAGGGGGTAAAAGAACTTTTCTGTTTAAGATTGGTGTAACTAGGGGAATTCACCTCATTATTCTCTTCCCAAAGTTCCATCAGGGTCATTAGGCACTCGTATTCGTAGTCGATATACGTTATTTGTCTGGTAATCCTTAGAGTCCCTGACAAACTTTTGGTGTTTACGTATATTTATGGAGTGTTGGAATTTGTCCAAATAGTTTTTGAGTCTAGTTTCAAGTTGTACGAATTCTGGATCAGTTTGGAATTGTTGTACCTTTTCAATCTCTTTTTCAAGATTGGAATTAGACTCTAATAGTTTCTCTTTTTCAAACTTAACTAAAATTACCATAAACCATTTAGAGCATGAGCCAGCGGCAGATTCCCATTCCTTAATCAGTTCTGTATTGTCTGTATAGGACGAAGGTACATTGCGAACCTTTAGTCCATGTGGGATCATATCTCTCTTGATATAATTCTCCAAAGAGGATATTTCTCAACTAGATCTTATCTGCTTCTTATAAAGGTTTTGTAAGGTATAGAATGATTGATTAATATTAGAGGGAATTGAATCAGAGTGATCTAGTTGTTCTGTAGAGAAAACACTATCTGAATCTCTGCACCAGATATCTCTATCTGGTTTACTTGAGAGAAAGCCTGCCATGGTGATAAAATGACAAAATTGACTGTAAATTTACTATATTAAATTGGTTAAGCTCACAAAGTCCAGGTATTGAAACCAAAGTAAATGAGAATAAGACAAAAAGGTGCAGACTTAAGAGTCAATGACAACTTGACTCCAAAGTCCGCAACACAGAAGGACTATGTGGGTAGTAGAGGTCATAAACCCCAAATTAATTATAGAGAAAAAAGAACCCTAGCGGACTAGAAGAGTAAAGGGCAAACTGCCGTTCTTCTAATAACCCACCCAGGAGTACCCACAACAGTAAGGGCGACTCAAGGGGCACACTATATAAAATCAAACAATCTTTATTAGATAATATTTTAATTTTGTAAAAAATAGAACAAAAATAATAATAGTGCAACACACAAACGTGCTAGTGAAATTAAAAAGGAAAAACTTAATACGGCCTCAGTAGACCCTTGTATGTATAAATGTAAATGGCTATAGGGTAATGATAGTAAAATTAGCCTATACCATCAGAGTAATAGCCATATGGTCACTAGTTAGGGGTATGACTTCCAAGGTTAGTAACCAAACACTAAACTGTAGTTTATCTAGATAGTAAGTTCAAAATGTTAGACTTTGTATATATTCAACTTGAGATATAAAGTAAAACATGCAGACCGTCTCTCTCTCCTGTTTAGAAGGTATAAAGTTTGTGATATTCATTAGAGGTTAGATTACTAGGGTGGTCGCAGCTAATATACATACAGGGTAGAATAAATTCAGTTGCAATATGCTGATACTAAATAAATCCCCCAGTGTTACTGCATAAGATAACACAATAAGTAATCCTAAAAGTCCTTAAAGTTTGTAAATATATACATCTTCAGTGTATCTCTTTCTACTAATAGAGAAATGTAGAGTTGAAAATAGAAGCTAAGTAAACTGAGCCAGCCTCCTATATTCTTAGAAAAATGGTAATGACGGGTACCTTGCAGACTTTGAAAGACAGTGCGCCCTGCATCAAGTACCCCCAGCAGAATGGGTCACGATTTTGTCCTGCAAATTATCGGATAGAGCCGCTGAAGCCTTCCGGGTTATACCAGGCAAGGATATATCACACTACTAGACAATTAAGGAAGCCTTACTTGCTCGGTATGCCATCAGCTGCTTGCCTAGCCGAAGAGTATACAGACAGCCTTCTCCATCTCCTCGCCCAGATTTTAGGGCTCCAACCCTCTCACCCCGTCCAAACTTCCAGGCTCCTGTCCCTCCAGGTCCCACTCGCTACCAGGATCCCTCCAGATTCCAACCCAACCGGCCTAAGATTCAGTCTCACCACTGCAATGAGTGGGGGCATGTACGCAGCCATTGTCCCATGATGCCTTCCCGAGCCCCATGGGGGCAACCAATAACCACAGCCTCCCTTACCCTAGCCGGACATTGTCTAGAGACCAAGAGCAACCAGGAGGAATATCTGGGGGTACTCTACGAGGCTAATCCTTTTCAAGCAGCTACGCAAGACAACCGCCACCGTCATTGGCATGTTGTGGTGATGGATGGTCAAGAGGCCCAAGGATTACATGACTCTGGGGCTACCTTAACCCTTATTCAATGCCACTTGGTTTGAGAAAAGGCACACACTGGACAGACCGTGGCAGTCCGGGTAGCTGGGGGAGCTATTTTTCATCTACTCACAGGGTTCACTTGGATTGGGGAGCAGGGTCCTTCACTGTGAATGTGGGGATTATGAACCAATTGCCGGCGGAAGTACCATCGTGGAATGATTTCGGTTCCCTAACCCCTAACTGGTGGACTGGCTTCAGCAGCTTGGGCTTGCGGGTGGGTTGTAACGGGGTTGGCTTCGGCTGCTTCTGTAGTATAGGCTGAGGTTATGGGAGCAGCCAATATCACCTTATATAAGGGAACCCATCACCCTAATACCATGGTCAGGATCTTCAAAAAAGACAGCGATAGGGGTGAAATAATATAAAAGTATAGGTGCAGTGAGATGCATATAAATCAAAAAGCTGCCCGAATTGTGAGTGCCCTTGTAAATTTAACGCGGTTGGGATCTTCGCAAAAGACCGCGGTAATCAACCAGATGACAATAAAGCGCCAAACACAGGGAAGACAAGATTATTGATCTTGATAAAGTTCCACAGTTTGGGACGAAACATGTCGATCTGTGTATACATCTCTGCTGTTTTCATACCTCCGCTCTTCCCTGTGTTTGTCGCTTTATTTTCATCTGGCTGATTACTGTGGTCTTTTGCCAAGATCCC